GATGAATCGTGATGAATCGTGATGAATAGTGATGAATCGTGATGAATAGTGATGAATAGTGATGAATCGTGATGAATCGTGATGAATCGTGATGAATAGTGATGAATCGTGATGAATAGTGATGAATCGTGATGAATAGTGATGAATCGTGATGAATCGTGATGAATCGTGATGAATAGTGATGAATCGTGATGAATCGTGATGAATCGTGATGAATCGTGATGAATAGTGATGAATCGTGATGAATAGTGATGAATAGTGATGAATAGTGATGAATCGTGATGAATCGTGATGAATAGTGATCTAATCTTGGTTAATGGTTAGTTAATGGTCAATCGATGGTTAATCATGGGGGTATAAGGAACAATAGTGGATGACTAACGGACAACTGATGGATCATTGGATCATTGGATCATGGGGATGATTTCTGATTGGCTTTACCACATTATGTACATGCTGTAGATGTGCAAATTGTACATCTATACAGGGGATTCTAGGAATACTTGGCTTTGTCCTGAAACATGGGTGATTTGCACCCACCATATGACACGAAAAATCCGCTAATTTGCTTCGTTCCAAAGTTATTTTTTGGGTTGGAGCTCGCACGTTCTGGTTCAGCATAGGAATGGACACTCTCAACTTTTAATGGGAAAGTACATGAACATATGTGATACTCATCTACAACTTGGCTGATTTTCAAAAAAAACAATATTGGGATAATCAATGATCATCATCTATAAATGATTTTCCAAACATCCAGACAATCTTAGGGATAAACATTTATAAATCTTACGTAAACATAGGCAATTCATAGGTGATTCTCCAGCCAAGATTTTGCAACGCAGGAGCTACATCCACACCAAGTCCAGCATGTCGATGCTTCCCATGAGGCGCGGCAGGTTCCTGAATTTTCTGCGATAAAAAATGGCGGTTTAACCATTCAAGATCCATAAAAAATGGTGATTTAATGGGATTTAATGGGGTTTAATGAGATTTAACCAACAAATGTGATTGAATGGGGTTTAATGGGATCTAACATGATTTAACCAACAATGGGGATACAGTACCCTTTGGTAATTAAACGTAGCCCGCTGGGACATCGACAAATGGAGGTGTATATCTGGTGATTTTCCAGTGCCACGTTTCCCGTAACGGGAGGGTACTTGGATCGACGCTTTTTTATTTTCATCCATCCATTGGTCAAATCGGGATGGAAAATCAACAGAAACAGTTGGCCAAGAACGGGATTTCCAGTGGATTTTGAGGGATCCAAAGAAACGGCCCCGATGGCATCAGGACGTGCGGATGCTTCCAGGGGTTGGAGGGCCCAAGTTTCTGCCTGGGAAGAGGGCGATTGACAGTCCACAAGGACAGTGTAGTACTAAACATGGCCATTTTTCGTCGAAAATCAGACCTTTCGGAAGCTGCCACCTTCACGAACCTGAGGGGTACTTGGGTGCGCATCCCAATTAGTAAGTGGTTAAATTCAGATATAAATGCGGCTTATCCCATTTGCTGCAGGGCTGTGACCAGTGCAGTGGAGTTGTCGTCCTTGACCGCCATGGCTTACTAAGGTTGTGGTCCTATTTCTCTCAGGACTGCGACAACGAAGAGGTGTGGGGGTGCCGGATTTCCTTGATCATTGAGGTGTTACACTGTCCAAAAAAGGGCCCAACATTGGATCAAAAATTGGTCATGGAAGAATGGGTCGATGATGATCTATAATTATTGGATTTACCACATGGCATGGATGGCATGGATGGCATGGATGGCATGGATGGCATATTTTCAATCATCCTCCGCATCTCCTTTTTGCTGGGCTTGTCTGAAAATAGGAGATTCCATTCCAATCCATTCCGCTGGTGAGAATAGTCATATTTTGTATAGTATTTCATGGCAACCAATTTTCTATAATCATCATCATTATTCTCATTCCTATTGTCATCTATTTACAATTCTGTAATAATAGTAATTTTTAATAACACCACTGGTATTATATATATAACCTATTATATTGTATCCATATAATTCTGTAATAATCCACCCCTTGGTCGACCATTTTCGACCTCCACAGGAACGCCGCAGATTCGAGACCACCGTTGCCTTTCTGCGGTCGGTAGGGGGCACCCAGTAGGTGTCCTCCTCATATGAGCTATGGTCAATACTCATGGTTAATAACCATTAATGGGGGCTAGTCATCCAATGGTTCATAGGGATTTTTAATAACCATTATAAGGATCCTTATTATGGATTGGATGACCATCAACCATATAGTGAGTATTGACCATGGCTCATATGAGCTTTTTATCTAGTTTAATGGGAACTCCATCAAGAATTGAATGTTTTAAGGGCATCTTGAACTCAGAATACTCTTCGTCAACTTCTAGACATATGTAGAGAAATCAAATGTCTAGACAAATGCGTCTGGCAGAACAAACCTTCCCCCCTTCAAGATTTTTTTGCACCATCAGTAGCCATCAGCCGCTCAGGTCCCTCTCTTTAGGCGACAACTTCCCAGCTGCGAGCTGCTCGTCACGGTCACCACGGGTGATGGGCTGACCGTGGTGTCACACCACGGGAAGCGCTACAAAGAAAACCTCGAGCTTAAAAACAGGGTCATCAATTTTAGCCCCATAGACTGTGTTGAGAATATATTTCTGGCTGAATCAGAATGATGTCCAGAGTAAGCGGCAAGTAAAAGGGAACCGATTTCAGCTGACCATCAACAGTTGTCCTCCCATCCCCTACCATCGACTGCCGTTAGCCATTGCAGGTAAGCTTTTCAGTGGGTCATACAAATATCGGAACGCTTTTTTTCTCTGCAATGCTGATTCCAAGTGGTTATGGTTCAAATAAGGAGCCTCCCAAATGGATGGTTCAATGACGCACACGACAATTTTTTTCGTGATTTTTCTATAGTGCATATATTATAATATATTATCTATACTATCTATATACATATGTTATATGATATAATGTTTTTTTTTTTTTTTAATGAGGGGTTTATTAATGGCACCCGAACATTATTCATTTTTGCTTGTGAAACACATTTTTGCAGATCACCCCCTTTTCACCCAACGAGGCTACCGAAGCTGGCGCGAGACTTGAAAGTGAAAAGTTGGAGGTACCGAACTGTGAGATCTGTGAATGGAAGGGGCTTGGTATGGGTTGATGTGTTGAATACATTTCATACATGATATAGGGGGAATCCGGGAATCAGATACAGTCTTGATAATTCTTGATCCTTTCCCATGGTGAACTAAGGGGTCAAACAGGACCTTTTGGTGGGCAATTGCATAGTGGTAAATTAAGGTGATTTTTACATAGAGGAAATGTAGTAAGGAACCCTGAAATATCCAGCCCAGTAGGTGAACCGTTTTGTAATCCTTAGGAATTCCACATGGCTTGGAAAGGTGATGACCCCGGCCAAGCCCAGCAGAAAACTGGGAAACAAGCAGCAGAAACCTGCCTCAGGCCAGGCGAAAGGCTGGTACGACAAGAAGAAGTTGGCAAACTCAGTTGGTGAAAGGGTCGTTTGACGGCTGCGACCTGTCGTATGGTTGGCTTGTAGGTGACCAGTTCGCACTGAAGTGATGTGCAAAGGAATTATGAAACCTCCAAGGTCCAATTCCATGAAATTCCCACAGTGGATGGGTGCTTTCAGTAGGATTCAGTAGGAAAGCCATCCTGGCAGGTTTTGGGTCGTTCCCCTGTCAGATGGCTTAGGTGGGTCGTGCCTTCTATCTCATTCAGTCCGGTAGGGCTTCGGTGATCGTCACCGACTTTGAGGGCAAGGAGCTTCACCGGACGGTGGTTGTGGTGGATGAGGATCGAACTCCTGTGGGTTTGTCTGAAAATAGGGTATAGCCATTTAATAGGGATAATGATCATTAACCATTGGGTTTAGGGGTACACTATTTTCAGACACACCCCCGTGTTCCAACGTCTTTGTCAAATCGGCATGCTGCCGCTGCAGGAGCATGTCCGTGCTACGCTCATTGCGGGCGACTACTTTGGAGGCGGCCCCCCTTTTTGAATTCCGAGGTGTTTTCCCAAAGCCGGTTGAAACAGTCATTTATATTCATTTATATAAGGGGCAGAACAGGTCAAAATGCAAATGAAATTGTGTGTTTCTTGAGGATTGGCACATGGATATTCGGATATTCTATTGACCCCTGAAAAATCGAGCCGTGACAGAGCCATAAACCATGATAGATCGATAAATCGCAAGCCAAGATCACAACATTTTTTGCGCATCCGGGTTGGAACCAGCCGACTCAGGTCACACCCTAGTGGCCGAGCGCGTGAACAACTGCCGGGCGTCGCTGGTGGTTGTTTCTATTTTTGTTTTGGTGCATAGAAAAATAGAAATTGTATAGTCAATTTCTGTAGTTATCGATACTTGCATACTTCTTGTCGATTTGATATATGGGAATTTGATGGAATTTGTCAAAACTTCCATCTGAATGGGGGTACCAACATCCATGAGCACCTGCTATCTTGAAGTGACTGGCTTGTGGCTCATATAGGGTTTCCTAGGGGTTTCAATGGTTCTCAAATCTCGAACCGACTCGAACCCTCTCTCCTATCTTCACATTTCCAAGAATGGCTCCGAAAAATTACAGCTTTTGCCTCCCATATTCACTCCAGTAAATTCACATAGACCCTGCCAGATAGGGGTTGGACGATTCGTTTCCACTCAAAATGGTTGATTTTCAGGGTCAAACTGTTTTTATATACCAGAGGGATCCAGAGGGTATCATTTACAGTAACATCATTTAACAAACAATGGCTTTCCACTTGTTCAATCCGACCCCCAATGGTTGTGATGGGCCCAGGCTCGGTGGTAGCGGATGGCCCAGAGATGCTGGTGACTCTGTCCATGTCACGGAAGGCGCAGATGGATGAAACATGGTGAAGCAGCGTGGATTTAAGCGATTTCATCAACCAAAATCGGGATTTTCCCACGAATCAGTGCGATTTTTTTGCCAGGAAAACATAATTTTTAAGCCATAAACATAAGGATTTCACCAGAAAAGCGTGGACATTTCACTAAATTTGAGGTTTAGCTTCCAAAAGACATTGGGATTTTGGCGTTTTGAGGCACACACACAAACACACAGATGCATGTGCCTTCAACACCAAACATGAGGTGAGTAGATTTGAACAAAATTGGTGGAAACACACTATGTAGCACCAGAAGCTCGGAGTTGACGCACAAGAATAGGGATTAAACTTGCAAACAACATGATTTGGACCGCAGGGCCACTTGACAAAGACATTTTAACCACCCCAAAAGGGGACTTGACCGATAGAAATGGGCACTTTTTCGGGGGTATATATTATATTTTATATATTATATTATATTATATTATATTGTATTGTATTGTATTGTATTGTATTATATTATATGATATGATATTACATTATATTATATGATATGATATCATATCATATTATATTATATTATGTTATATTATATTATATTATATTATATTATATAGTATATATTATATATTATATATTATATTATATATTATATTATATATTATATTATATATTATATTATATATTATATTATATATTATATTATATATTATATTATATATTATATTATATATTATATTATATATTATATTATATATTATATTATATATTATATATTATATTATATATTATATTATATATTATATTATATATTATATAATATATATTATATTATATATTATATTGTATTATATATTATATATTATATTATATTATATATTATATTATATATTATATTATATTATATTATACTATATTATATTATATTATATTAAGTTATATTATATTATATTATATTATATTATATTATATTATATATAGATATCATTTTAAAAAAAAACTATCGACAGTGCACCGCATTCTTTGCCGCCAGGTCTTTGATGCCTCAGGTCTCAAGGACAGACGGGAAGCAGGGGAGTGCAGGCCGAAGTTTCAACATACACGACATCTGATAAAGGGTACATTTTGATTCCGACATACGTATATTTAAGATAATTATATAATGTATATAATATATATTACTATAATATATATATATATCATTAGTGTACATTTCCAATATGTTCTTCTCCATGATTCATGATGCTTACCTACAACAGAATCAAAACTATGGACCGATTCATGTCGGTAGTCACAGTAGAGTTTGATGGCGCGGCATGTGTTCATCCCACGCTTGACGCCTGCCGGAGTTTGTCAAAACCACTGGGCTGTAATTGGTTGATGGGAAAAGTGCCGGGCAATTCACTCAGTTTGCACCACTGGGTAGGACCAAACTGATCCAAACCATTCCAAACCTATGTTTTCCGAGATTGGAAAGGACACCAGTGAGCTTTCTCATGTCATGCTGTGAACACTTGGCCGTAGGACAAACTTTTCTTTCCCAAGCGGCCCGCACTGACTGTGGATCGCGGTCCATCGCGCGATCCCTCGTGGCAAACCATGAGTGCCGTCGAAAAAACACCTCAAGAACAGGCCGGGAAGGGTCGCAACATACCGACTCTCTAACAGCAAGACATGGTTTTTTATTTTATTTTTGTTTCTTGAAATAGGGGAAAACCAAATACTCCCACATATACCACTTTGTTTTATTGTGGCTGCAGCTAAATGTTGGGCGAAACCGTTATTCTCTTTCCATTTCAAGAAACACCAAGCGTGCAGCCGAGGCCTTTCTTCTTACCGCTCTGAAAAACAACGTCAACCTCCGGGCTTTGCACGACGTTTCTGGGTCGCAGTTGGGAACTGGGTGGCTGGCCGAGAATGGTTGGAGTGATGAAGCCATGATAAACCATCATCATCATCATCATCATCAAACTGATAGCAACATTATTTTCCATTTTATGCGGGACATCAACAGATTTTCAGCTGATGCTTTCGGATCCGAGGTCAGCAACCAGGTGATGCACAGTATCGCAGCCGCTACTTGGATGCCCAGCCGGTATTGTGTGGCCTGTTGTGGAACCCCAGGGTGAACCCCAGGCCCAAATATGTGTGTTTGTCTGTCCAAAATATGGAACATATTCCCAAAATCCATTGGTTCATCGTGATTTTCCCTACAGTTGCTTCCGGTTTTCCTGTAAAATCTTCCCTGACTTGGACCCAGGGAGCAGTTCCTATGATCGTGCCCAAGGTGCCTGGTGGCTTGTTCCCAACTTCCATGAAGAGAAGTCGAGTCTGTTGCAGTCTGTTGGGTTTTTTTCCATCTGAACATGGTCTTTTTTGGGCTGATTCTGTTCCCGTCAGCATGTCCTTAGTCCTTTTCGTAAAGGAGTTCCACACCCAATGGTATGAGCAATGCATACACATTCGCATTCACATTTTTCCATTTGGCTCATTTTTGGTCCGCCGCAGGGCTCAGTGGTGGCCCAAAGTGGCGACGTGGGACAGGAGTTCTTCGTGATCAAACGGGGGACCTTCCACGCCTTCGTCCCCTGGTAACGGCAAGGGCTGGGATGGCTGGGAGCTGAGGGTAGCCTCATATAATATATACTGTATATATTATCATATTATATATATATATTATCATAACTGCATCATATTATATGTATATTTTATATATGTGCATATTATTATATATTATCTGTATTTCTCGTAGTCTAAGAGGTAAATTATCTAGAAAAAACAGTGATTCCGAAGGCTACGTTAAATCACCAGATGGTGATTTATGGTGATTTAAGGGCCAGAGATGAACCGATTTTCAACAGAATGTTGTTTGCTTGAGATGTGAATAAAAAGCCAAATTTGGGGTGGTTTGGTGTTTCACTACCCATGTCTGGTCGGACGACAGTTCCCCTAGTGGTTTGGCTGGGTATTTGTGGCAGCTGTTGAGAGATGGCATCATTTTTGCCTAATTTTACCTACATCTCTTGCACACGAAGTCTCGAATTTTGGCACCTTGACTCCCAATCAGTTGCAAATTAAAACGAATCTTCTGTTGGTTGTACAACTTCCATGTATATATATATATAATACACATGTATATATATATATATATTAATATAATATAATATATCATAATATAATATAACATAACATAATATAATATAATTCATATTTTTATGATCATTTGTTCCATTACAACCATGAGACATCACCTGTTTTCATTTGTGGATAACTTCCATTCAGAATCGACAAAATGTTCATCCCCATAATTACTGGAATGGTTGTGAAAGAACAACTCATTTATTTTGCATATGTATATATATATATATACACTGTATATGTCATAATATCGATTCCCTGTATTTTCTGGATCTATGGGTACCTTCGGGTAATCATCTCCGTGACTGGACAATCCCTATCAACACGGGAGGTTCAAAAAGCTGGGAAAATCACCTTTAGTGAGGGATTTCCCAGCGTTTGAGGACACTGGAGGATAACCAATTTCAATAATTTCACCATTTGCTGATCGAAGGACCATAGTTGTACTCATAGAAGTAGCCTCAACTGCAACCCCAAGTGGCCCAAGTGAATAACTGCAACCCCTGTTTTTGGCTTCATCACTCTATATGTACTGGTTATACAATAATAATAATAACAATAATAATCATAGTAATAATAATAATATAATAATAATATAATAATAACAATAATAATAATATGTTCCCTTTCCCCACTAAAGTGGCAATTTAGGCGGGTATAGGGGGGGGTATTTAGATATACATATCATGTTCAGATACACCACCGCTATATTCAAACAATATACACCTGATCTACAAGGATTTCAACTGTTTTGGAGGAAATTTCAAGGACCAACTCGCCATAAACTATATATCATAAATCGTGGGATATGAATGGAGTACATGGATATATGAAATTCTATGATATATCTATGATATATATATATATATACAGTCCTATTCTATTAGGTTTTGACCCATGCCGCCATGCACATTTGGTGTCCTAAAATGGCGTGATCCAAGGCTGACTGCGGGCGCGACGAGAGCCGCTCCCCGAAGTCGGCCGAAGCCACTGTGGCGCAGCTCACGATCTCGGTGGGGATGGGGGGCCCCATGGGGCTTTCGTGGTAGGTCCAGTATGGTTTTGTATGATTTATATGATTTTTCTATGGTAGTTTCATAAGGCATTGTGTGGTTCAATGATGTTCAATGGTAGTTTGGTATGGTTTTTGTATGGTTTTTTTTCGGGATCATCATGGGATAATCATAGATGATCCATAGATTTACAGTCGCCTCCGGTGTCATCATGGCTGCGACATCCACCAGAGACACAACTTTGCACCGTTGAAGCAGCGTGCAGGAGAGACTGAAGCGAAAGCAAAACTTTTTGAAAAGTTTGTAGCGGCCTCGGCAACTGTCTCCTGCTGAGGAAAGACTTTTTGATATGCCTTGAATATAGACCACAGACATGGCCGGCCATGGCCGGCCGCATGTGACAATCCACAATAGTGGGGTCATGAAACAATGACATGGTAATACTTGGGTCATCAAACAATTTAACATGGTAATTACACAACAATGTTTTGCGCTGTTTCTTGAGTGTATGTCGAGTCACGCTCAGCACGCACAAACTGAATGTCGATAGACTGCTGGAAGTTTCCGAAGTGGAGAATCTCTTCCCATGGCCATGTTGGATTTTTGGATAGCCCACACTTATCCATACCGAAAAAAGAGGCTTTTTCAGGATCCTGGTTCAGCAGAGGATCAGCAGTCGAATTTACAGATCCTTGTAGGTCGAAAAAAATGGTTAAACCATGTTAAACCTAATTATCAACCATCCCCAATCATCTCCATAATCTCCATAAACATGGGTTTGGAGCCATAATTATGGAGATTATGGAGATTATCAACCATGTTAAACCCAATATTGCCATAAACTCCCCATCATCTCCAATTTATGGGTGGTTTTGGAGCCATCCCAACTGGTTTGTGGCAAACCCCTCGAAACGCTCGCCAAGGAGTTGCCGAAAAGGCCATCAGCCGAACTCAAGGCCGCGACCAGCTGGGATTTATGGATGTTCATTGCACCAGAAAGCTTCATAGCCTTTGAAGCCAAATGATTTGCATTTGCCCAGGACGAATTTACAATATTTTGCCCTTGGAAATGGTGATTGCAGCATGGCAGAGTCTATTGAAGCCGGATTTCTTGCGCACAAAACGCCATGACATAGCATTGGGTACAACAGGACCCAAACGCAAGGGCGAAAGAATAACCTATAGCCTATAGCTCCCATTTCGGTTTGCAGCGGATTTCGGGGTCCCAAAACTGCCCATCAGCCTGACAGGTTGCATTCACAGTCTGTACGCTTAGCATCCGCACCTAAAGGTCCTAAGGCAGCGGGCTGCGTGGTTAAACTACCAATAATCAACTGGAAAATGGTAGAGCTATGGGGATTATAATGGGGTATTAATGGGATTACAATAGGGATATTGTGTGAGTTTATAACCAACAATATGTGATATAGCCTATTTGGGTCCCACCGGTGTCATTAAACGTGGCTGGCTGGAAAATCCTCCAAAAATGGAGGTGTATAGCTGAGAAAACCATTGAACTAAATGAAGGATTTTCCAGCCACGCCACGTTTGATGACACTGGAGCGTATACAAAATGAGGAAAAAACCACTGGGATGTGGTTAAAAAACGGGTTATTTAAGGATGATGTTTGTCTCATATTGGCACAAGAAACGATCAGAAACGCTGGGAACTCATTCCACGATCTGCAGGCAATGTCTGAGTGGGCGGATGACTTCAACCCCTTCAAGGCGGGTAGCAGTGCAAGGATGATTAGTTTCAGGTTATACTACCCAATGTGGTGGTTTCTTAAAATGGTGGATCCACAAACCATGGCAATAAAAATACTAAAATGGTCTAATTAACTTGGATGATTTGGGGGTACCAGCATTTTTGGCAACCTTCATATAATCCAATATATTGGTGAGAATCTGTTCATCCATGAACTGGGAATCCCGTTCTTAACCAAGCAGTGTTTCATGGTAAAAGCCGAGGCTTTTGAACCCTGCTCACCGCAGATTTGAAGGTACCATGAATTACCATGGCTTTTCCCGTTGCTACGATCTACTAAGTACCTTGCTGGAGGTTATTGTACCTATAATCATAATCCTTTTTGAGGAAGAAAAGATGGGCTAACAGACTTAGGTAGTATAACATAGACATATGTCACATAGCAGTATAACTTATACTAACCCCAAACTATTCAGGTAGTATATCCCAAACTAATTATACCCTCTGGTAATTTAACATAGCTATTGAAAATGACCATTTATAGTGGATTTACCCATAAAAGATGGTGATTTTCCATAGTTATGTTAGTTTACCAGAGGGTATCATAATTATGATTGAGCCCCCTTGGTGATTTCCAGACGCCAGGGGCCAGGATGGGTGTCGCCGCGCAGTGAAGACTGGAGGCTGACAGACAGGGCTGAAAAACAGACTTGGGGGCCCACAACAACAATGGCTGGGTCATTCTTGGAAGTTACCCTCTGGTAATTTAACATAGCTATTGAAAATGGCCATTTATAGTGGATTTTCCCATTAAAAATGGTGATTTTCCATAGTTATGTTAGTTTACCAGAGGGTAATGGGATATTCATGGGATATCATTAGCATATTAGCATATTATTTAGTGGGCTATTGTTCTAAACAATTCTGAAAATAGGGTATAAATGGCCATTGAAGAGTGGGACAATGAGAATCAACTAATCAACATTCAAATCCATTTCATGCCCCTAGACACGCCAGCTGCAGACTAACTCTACTCTACACGAAGATGACAATATTTTCGGTAAGCCATACATAATTGGATGGACATGGCATTGTTTACTGGGGACTAGAAGAAACATCATCAAGAATCGGAAGAGGGGGACTATGGGCATTCCCCTCTGGTAAACTCAACATAACTATGAAATAATCATGGAACAGTGGAACATCACCATTTTTCATAGGTAAATCAACGATTTCTAAATGGGTTCAATAGCTACTGCCATGAGGTGTTTGCCAACCAGGACGCCTTGCAGCACGGTGGCATCCAAAGCAGACTTCATGCAGATGGCCAGCTTTCAGGTGGCGCTGCTTTAGTGAAGTTTTCAGTGATGATCATGGGACTACAGGAGGAAATTTGTATATTATATACGTATATATATATATACACGTATTTATACAGATGTATTATAATTATAATGTATATTAATGTATAAACCATATATATATACATATAATACGACTGATGGTTTCAACAACTTGTATTTTTCCATCCGTCCAAAGTGGATGCTGATCAGAAATGACATCGGTATTTTTGCAGGGGTGTTGAATCCACCAACCAGCCATTGGCACTTCCAAAAATTTCAGTAAATTACAACCAGCCAATCGCATTGAAAGGAACTTCTGAACTGTTTGGATGGCCAAAGAAATCCCTGGAAAGCAACAAAAATTGCTTTGAAATCATGGGATTATGCACAGCCGCACAGCCAACCTCTGTGGGATATTTTGAAACCAGATCCAGCTTTCGACATCCGTTTTCTGGCTGTGAGGTGGGAGATCGAGTGAGGATGCAGCCCGAAAAGGCGCGCGGGTCTTCTCCGTTCGAACACCAGCCTGTAGTGATGGGAATGGGATGACTCTAAAAATTGGGGTGAAGTCGGTGAAGTCTAAAAGTGATAACTTGTTGGTAAGGACCGACGATCAAGAAGAATCAACGCCAGAAAAGTGGTCTGTCTGTGGCCATTAAATGGAAAAAACGAGGAGAATCCACTGGAATTGGGGATACTTTAGAGGTTTTGAGACACACTCAAATATGGTTTGGTACTTGCTTTGGAACGCGTTCAAAAGCATTGCTTTCGAACGCGGTCTCATGCGTCGCTTTGGAACGCGCCTGATCATCATGATCTTCATTCCCGTCTAAGGCCATATCATCATCATCATCATCATCGTCATCGTCATCATCATCATCATCACCATCGTCATCGTCATCGTCATCTACCATCTATCATCTATCATCTATCATCTATCATCTATCATCTATCATCAATCATCTATCATCATCATCATCATAATCATCACCATCACCATCACCATCATCATCATCACCATCATCACCACCATCATCACCACCATCATCACCATCACCACCATCATCATCATCATCATCATCATCACGTAAAGGCGCAGCGTGCTGATCCTCCTTTATCTTAACGTTCGGCGAAGGGTTATATACCCGCAGCGTAAATGTCCCTGTGTGTGCACAGGAACATGAACGTTATTGTCCCACCTCACCCCACCCCACCCCACCCCACCGGTAACTGATCATGAATGAGCAGTGCCTGTGTCTGCTGGACAGCAAGAAAGATAAGGTTGCTGTGCCTGTGTGTGCACAAGAACATGAACGTTATTACCCCACCCCACCCCATCCCAACCCACCGGTAACTGTTCATGAAAGAGCAGTGCCTGTGTCTGCAGGACAGCAAGAAAGATGATGAGGTTGCTGTGCCTGTGTGTGCACAGGAACATGAACGTTATTACCCCGCCCCACCCCACCCCACCTCACCGGTATCTGATCATGAATGAGCAGTGCCTGTGTCTGCAGGACAGCAAGAAAGATGATAAAGTTGCTGTGCCCAGGAACATGAACATTATTACCCCACCCCACCCCACCCCAACCCACCGGTAACTGATCATGAAAGAGGAGTGCCTGTGTCTGCTGGACAGCAAGAAAGATGATGAGGTTGCTGTGCCTGTGTGTGCACAAGAACATGAACGTTATTACCCCACCCCACCCACCCCACCCCACTGGAACATGAATGAGAGATGATCTTGTCATGCAAGGCTTGCTGGTCCATTGGCGCCACAAAAATTGGAGCATAGTGGGGTACAATATGGTACATATCGCAACAATGCATCATGTCCCAAACTACAGCCCTCTGTTCACCAGGTTTTGTTATGGAACTTACCACTGGGTATGGAACCAGATTTGAAACAGGATGTAATAGGTTCAGCGACCAAAAACTGGTGGTGCATCCCGGTTCACTTATTGGGTGGTTTGCAACTCATATCATGACGACATTCCAGAGAATAGTTCAAAGTTCAATGCAGCAGAACTTCACAGCAGGTATTTTCATGTCTTTTCCCATATGTTTGGAATAGATTTTCCCATATGTCCCCATATTTAACCATGATTCATGATTGCAGTTTCTTGGTGAAAACCAACAAGTGGCGAGAGACCGCCAGCCATCGCCATCACAAAGGTTATGTACAACTCCATCAAGTTGATCCCGTCGTCATCGCCAGGTTCTCAGTCACAAGAGTGAATCAGTATATATATATATCTATGTATATATCTATGTATATTTGCTAAATATTTGCTAAATATATTGCCATAGGGCTATCATATGCTGTCCGTTTCCTACAGCATGCTTTGCCTTCATCCTCCCACAATGGGATCCTGCAGCAGATCTGGATTTGTTGGCAAAAACCTTTGCTGAAGACAGAACATGTATGTATGTATGTCTGTATGTCTGTCTGTATGTATGTACGTACGTATGTATGTATGTATGTATGTATGTACATTTCATGTACCGATACTATTGGAGTATGTCAAGGACAAATACCTCCAAACACGCAAGTGAATATTGGAGTGATTGAACACATGTTGTGTATGTTATGGGTCCGCGCGCGCGCGCTCGGAGGAGTCGAATCCAGAGGTAAAACGCGCGCGCGCGCGGACCCAAGTTCAAATAACGAAAGAAGGGGACCATCCCGTTCAGTGCTATGATGATTTGCCTTCATAAATGGTTCGGGAGATTGGAAGTATTAAGAGTCCCTTGGCTGCCAGCCCCATACCTCGAAAATGACTGAAAGGGTGGTCAACCAACGACATACCCGAACCTGATGGGGTTCACTAAGGTGAGGCACTTCGCTGGAGAGGTTATGGTCCCAGAGGGACGACACAGGCAAACATAGCAAACTCTAGTCTCTAGTGGCTCTAGTCAATCTGGCGACAGGGTCTCGTTTTGCATCGAAGGAAATCGGTGGTCAAAGCTCAATCCATTCCAATTCCATCAACTTTGCGGTATGCTGCGATAGTTGTGATTTTGAATCAAACTGCTGGATGCATTTGATGGGTGAGAGCCTTTCAGCCATGCAACTTCACAAAGGTTATGTACAACTCCATCAAGTTGATCCCGTCGTCATCGCTAGGTTCTCAGTCACAAGAGTGAATCAGTATATATATATATGTATGTATATATCTATGTATATTTGCTAAATATATTGCCATAGGGCTATCATATGCTGTCCGTTTCCTACAGCATGCTTTGCCTTCATCCTCTCACAATGATGTAATTGCGGCCGGTACTTCGGACATGACTGACGGTAGGACCACAACAACTTGGATTCATCTCTGACTTGCGCCTTCATGTTGCTAGTCCGCAGGAGTTTGAAGTTGCGGTACAACTCCATCAAGTTGATCCCGTCGTCATCGCCAGGTTCTCAGTCACAAGAGTGAATCAGTATATATATATATCTATGTATATATCTATGTATATTTGCTAAATATTTGCTAAATATATTGCCATAGGGCTATCATATGCTGTCCGTTTCCTACAGCATGCTTTGCCTTCATCCTCCCACAATGGGATCCTGCAGCAGATCTGGATTTGTTGGCAAAAACCTTTGCTGAAGACAGAACATGTATGTATGTATGTCTGTATGTCTGTCTGTATGTATGTACGTACGTATGTATGTATGTATGTACATTTCATGTACCGATACTATTGGAGTATGTCAAGGACAAATACCTCCAAACACGCAAGTGAATATTGGAGTGATTGAACACATGTTGTGTATGTTATGGGTCCGCGCGCGCGCGCTCGGAGGAGTCGAATCCAGAGGTAAAACGCGCGCGCGCGGACCCAAGTTCAAATAACGAAAGAAGGAGACCATCCCGTTCAGTGCTATGATGATTTGCCTTCATAAATGGTTCGGGAGATTGGAAGTATTAAGAGTCCCTTGGCTGCCAGCCCCATACCTCGAAAATGACTGAAAGGGTGGTCAACCAACGACATACCCGAATCTGATGGGGTTCACCAAGGTGAGGCACTTCGCTGGAGAGGTTATGGTCCCAGAGGGACGACACAGGCAAACATAGCAAACTCTAGTCTCTAGTGGCTCTAGTCAATCTGGCGACAGGGTCTCGTTTTGCATCGAAGGAAATCGGTGGTCAAAGCTCAATCCATTCCAATTCCATCAACTTTGCGGTATGCTGCGATAGTTGTGATTTTGAATCAAACTGCTTGATGCATTTGATGGGTGAGAGCCTTTCAGCCATGCAACTTCACAAAGGTTATGTACAACTCCATCAAGTTGATCCCGTCGTCATCGCTAGGTTCTCAGTCACAAGAGTGAATCAGTATATATATATATGTATGTATATATCTATGTATATTTGCTAAATATATTGCCATAGGGCTATCATATGCTGTCCGTTTCCTACAGCATGCTTTGCCTTCATCCTCTCACAATGGTGTAATTGCGGCCGGTACTTCGGACATGACTGACGGTAGGACCACAACAACTTGGATTCATCTCTGACTTGCGCCTTCATGTTGCTAGTCCGCAGGAGTTTGAAGTTGCGGTACAACTCCATCAAGTTGATCCCGTCGTCATCGCCAGGTTCTCAGTCACAAGAGTGAATCAGTATATATATATATCTATGTATATATCTATGTATATTTGCTAAATATTTGCTAAATATATTGCCATAGGGCTATCATATGCTGTCCGTTTCCTACAGCATGCTTTGCCTTCATCCTCCCACAATGGGATCCTGCAGCAGATCTGGATTTGTTGGCAAAAACCTTTGCTGAAGACAGAACATGTATGTATGTATGTCTGTATGTCTGTCTGTATGTATGTACGTACGTATGTATGTATGTATGTACATTTCATGTACCGATACTATTGGAGTATGTCAAGGACAAATACCTCCAAACACGCAAGTGAATATTGGAGTGATTGAACACATGTTGTGTATGTTATGGGTCCGCGCGCGCGCGCTCGGAGGAGTCGAATCCAGAGGTAAAACGCGCGCGCGCGGACCCAAGTTCAAATAACGAAAGAAGGGGACCATCCCGTTCAGTGCTATGATGATTTGCCTTCATAAATGGTTCGGGAGATTGGAAGTATTAAGAGTCCCTTGGCTGCCAGCCCCATACCTCGAAAATGACTGAAAGGGTGGTCAACCAACGACATACCCGAATCTGATGGGGTTCACCAAGGTGAGGCACTTCGCTGGAGAGGTTATGGTCCCAGAGGGACGACACAGGCAAACATAGCAAACTCTAGTCTCTAGTGGCTCTAGTCAATCTGGCGACAGGGTCTCGTTTTGCATCGAAGGAAATCGGTGGTCAAAGCTCAATCCATCCCAATTCCATCAACTTTGCGGTATGCTGCGATAGTTGTGATTTTGAATCAAACTGCTGGATGCATTTGATGGGTGAGAGCCTTTCAGCCATGCAACTTCACAAAGGTTATGTACAACTCCATCAAGTTGATCCCGTCGTCATCGCTAGGTTCTCAGTCACAAGAGTGAATCAGTATATATATATATGTATGTATATATCTATGTATATTTGCTAAGTATATTTGCTAAATATATTGCCATAGGGCAATCATATGCTATCCGTTTCCTACAGCATGCTTTGCCTTCATCCTCTCACAATGGTGTAATTGCGGCCGGTACTTCGGACATGACTGACGGTAGGACCACAACAACTTGGATTCATCTCTGACTTGCGCCTTCATGTTGCTAGTCCGCAGGAGTTTGAAGTTGCGGCCCAGAGCGTAATAGGGTGACCGTGCATCTGTGGATTATGGCGACGCTCGAGTTTCGTCCCCCCATGACTCTGAAGTCCCGACCATTGGCTTTTGAGTTTGTCAAAGAGCTTCTGGGGCCGGACCTTCGGCACGTGAGGAAAGTGTGCCCCATGCAACAGGGGGCATTTCTGCATGTTCTTGGGTTGCGCGGGGGACGTGGTGGAGTGTGGCAAATATATAGATATGGATAGATAGGTATATAGATATGGATAGATAGGTAGATAGACAAGAGAAATGTATATATACCCTTAGCTTCCAAATCCTACAAATTTGTCGGGTGCAAATTAAAACCCTGGGATTAGCTGTGATCACGCTAAAAACCGTGGGTTTGTCACAAAAAACCAGGGTTTTCTTACAAACTGTCCAAATTCGATGTGGTGCTTGCTTCCGACGCTTCTCCTGCTTTGTTTCGTCATATGTTTCTTAGATTTTCATCTATTCAGCCTTACCGTCAGGAAGCCACATCTACATATACATTTGAAGTAGAGAACAACGCAACCCCAACATGGAAAAGTACGGGTCGGGAATTCAACCCTCTAGCAAACCGCGTTCAACCCGTGATTGACCCGTGTCAACCCGTGTTTTCTTGAGGAATACACAGGGTTTGTAGGCTAAACCTCGTGTATTTTGAAAATAACCAGGTTTTCTCTAACCCGTGTTCAATCCATATTCAACCCGTGATTTACCCGTGTGCACACATGATATAAAACAGGGGTTGGACCCCCTTGGAACTGGTGAACATATAATACGTTTTTGTTGTATTTGGGCTTGTGTTTGGGCATCCATGACCAGTAGACTGGACAGAAATGCAACACTTTTTGAGGACCCACCGCATTAATAAAATCAAAGCATTTGGGGGCATGGTCTTGAAATTTGTGGAAATAGAAAAACCTTGGGTTTTGTTTTGAAACCCTGGGTTGTAAGTGCCACCCTGCGAGTGCCTGAGGTTGTCGTTCATGAGGATGTTGGTGGATTGGATCGTGTTCAGCAAGTGCTGGGGGCACGTGGCGAATGTCGTGTACTGTCACAAGCGCAGCATCAGGCAAAAGCCCAAGCTGATGCTGAACTGAAGCAAGCCAAAACTGAACAACGCAACGGCTTGATGAGTGGCAAGAGGGCGGCTGACGTATGCATGGCATTGCTAGAATTGCGTGGTCGATCAGGATCTGAACGTCAACGTGACTAGCTTGCAATTATTTGTGGTGATGGTTTAACTAGACCAGGGTCGAAGGGAGTTATCTGTTTGTTTTTCGTCACCAAGGGGCGAAATTCAGCATGGAAGCGCTGAACCTTGTGAAGGACGCCCAGGGGTGGTCGGCTGATGGCTTGAGGAAGTCACAGGCAGACGCAACGGCTGCAGCTGACGGAGCAGATGACGCAGGAGAGGATCTGGGAGGGTAGAGTTATCCACAGGTGGATATAGATATGCATGATTGGCAGAATGATGCAAACATCTGCTTCTTTTTCCTTTTTTACTGCCGTTGCAAGATGGTGCTATCATCAACAGTCGAAAATCGTGCATTAGTCGGTGGTTCTGCCAGTGGTTCACACGGGGATAAAAGGGCAGAGGATGGGACAGGAACTACTACAGGTTACGCGAATCAACAGTTTGGTTGCGCAGGAGATGCTTGAGGACTTTGATGTCCCGGACCTTATCGTCTTTTTGTGAGGCCAAGTGCTTCAGAAACCATCGGCCGTTGAGAGGTACAAATAGATCTTGAGTTGGAAGGTATGCAGTCGAGCAACCTGCGCCTGCGTATGGCAACTGCCTGGCAGTATTGGTGGCATTGCTGATTCCCATTGTGGATGACTCACAGTAATATAAGGATTGTGGAACAATTGCCCAATCAAATGAACCTCGATGGTTGCCAGGCAGTGTCGAAGTATAGAACACTTTTCACAGCGGCCCCTGTGAGACTACCGAATTGTACAGTACAGTAGAAGTAGGACACGGGTGTCTGCACCGAAGCCCAAATCGGTGTCCAGTGGTCCTGGAACAATTCAGCCGTGGAGCTTGGTCCCAAGTCAACCTTGACGCATTGGAGAACGAAGCTGGGGCACGTTATCAGGATCTTCGCTAGTGAAACATATAATGTATAACGTTATATATATATATACACATCATCTTGTGGGGTGTACTGTGATATACGTCATTTTCAGACGACCAAATCAGATACATCGAGGTGATGATGTAATACATTAAAATCACTCGAAATCGATTACGTAAACTCAGTAATCATCTTAGATACACTAGGGATATGAGCGTGTCATTGATGACTTGGAGACTGATTGTGTAGCTTTTGACTTTGCGGTGCCACTTCAAGTATGCGGTCGGGTATGTCAGCCGTTGTAGTGCTGTATATATATAAAGATCTTGAGTCGGAAGTTATGCGGTGGATCAACCTGTGCCTGCATACGGCGACTGCCTGCTGTGCGAACCTTTGGACCGATGATTGATGATGAAAAAATGGGGAAACTCGCAATCCATGAACTGGAAACTCCTTTGAACCAGTATGAAGGGATGACGTGGGCGGATTTTGACAACGCTGATTTTGACTGGGAATCTCTTGGACACCCGAAGAAATCATGTTTTTGGCATGATCCCTTTGGCAGGTTTCGACAGTGATTGAAATTGAGGTGCTGCGTGTTTTTTTCCTTAGATTCTGGACATGCTAAAGAAACTGTTTGAGTTTCAGTAAATGGTTTTTGATGGAAATATTGAGCTTTGTTGAAGGGTCAAGATCAACCTTTTTGATGCACACTTTGAATCACTGGTTGGTGGTTTGGAACATTTTTTATTCTTCCATATATATAATATATTGGGAATAATAATCCCAACTGAATCTTTTGCCATGGAGGTATCTTGGGTACGTCCGTGCAACATCGTGCAATGACGTCCCAGGTGCGGCGTCTGAAGGAGACAACGAGGTTGAACATGGCAGCCCCTTGGAAGAACGGTGATTTCGCCGACATTGGGGATTGAATCGGACATATGTTAAAGTTGATGTATGATAGCTATTGATAGCTTGTGTTTCACTGGGTTAGTATCATATAGTATCTCTATTTTATTATTTTGGGGAATAAAAGGGATTTACCAAGCTTCATTGGGATTTTGACAGTCTACAGTATATAACCAACTTCATATGGTTATTTAAATTTGCCTTCCAACCAATGCTGGGATAACTGGGGCATATTGGGGCATGAGTCATAGCTACCAATGACCAGCATCCGTACGCGCAGAGCCATTCAGAGCCCGTACATGATAATGATCGGGTTGGTAGTCTCAAAGATATTTATCCTCTGATAAACGTTTACATAACTATGGAAAATCACCATTTTTAATGGGTAAATCAACTATAAATGGCCATTTTCCAGTTCGCAAACTGTAAACGTTTACCAGGCCGGGTAACTCTGCCCTGAAATGGGATGATCAAGCAGTATCCGACGGATTTTCACAATCCAAACTTTGCCGTGGTGAAAAGCCTATAACATTGTGACGCCCCCCAGTGATGTTTGTCGGTTTAGATTCGCGCCAGCAACTAGTTCGTTAGAAGTATCATAAACCATAGTCTGACCATAGTGAAATTGGAGTTATTTGCACCAACTTAGCTATCTTGGGGGCCTGACATTGTAGCTAAGTTGGGTTTTCTGATTGATCTATAATGGGGCTTGTGAACCAAGAAACATCACGGTGTTGGTTTTTTTTGGGCACCACATTTCCAGTCATCTCCAGCACGGCGACAGGCCTGCTACTTGAAGCTGGGTGAGCACCAGAAGTGTGTCGACGCCTGCAATCAAGCTTTAGAACTGGGTCAGAATCCAAAGGCACCGCAGAGTGCTTGGAGGGGTGCTGGGGGGGTGCTGGGGGGGTGCTGCAACTTTCATGAAATTTGGCTATGCAAAAACGATATGCAACATATTGGGTTCGTAGAATTGGGAACAATTCAAAGTATCATCGTATGTTATGGGTCCGCGCGCGCGCGCTCGGAGGAGTCGAATACGGAGGTAAAACGCGCGCGCGCGGACCCAAGTTCAAATAACGAAAGAAGGGGACCATCCCGTTCAGCGCTATGATGATTTGCATTCCTAAATGGTTCGGGAGATTGGAAGTATTAAGAGTTCCTTTTAGCATCTATGTCAGGGGATGAACATCCAGCCATACACCAGCAATTTTTGATGCTTTGGGGCACCATATGTCAAACCAAATGTCTCCATACTTGAGCATTCCATTACTCTTAAAAAAAAAATTGGGCAGCGCTGGAAATTCTCGTCCCAGTGAGGACTTCAAGGGACGCTTCGACTTTGTTTCCGAAATCCATGATTTTGGATGGCCTTGATTCTAAGTCCAAGAATTCTATACATTGGTTTTGATTTCAACATGACCCTCAGTGGGCTTATCCTCTGGTAATTTAACAGTTTGCTATTGAAAATGGCCATTTATAGTTGATTTAGCCATTCATAATGGTGATTTTCCATCGTTTTTTGTTTACCAGAGGCTATCCATACTTCTCCCCCATGTAACTGGGACAACCTGGTTACAAAAAAAGGCCTGTGGGTTGATCCTCCAGGAGTTTCCCAAAGTTCATGCGGAGGATTTTCGTGGGTTTTTCTCACGGGGATATAACATGATATAGGAAAAACAATGGTCAAAATTTGGAGTTTCGAACTGGGGAAATCAAGTCTGACTATGGTGACTATGGATGTTGAGAGACAGTATAGATACTTAGCCTCTGGTAAACATACAAAAAACTGATGGGAAAATCACCATTTTTCATCAGAAAACTTGGGGAATTCTCACTGAATCTGCAGTATACCCTCTGGTAAACGTTTATATAACTATGGAAAATCACCATTTTTGAATGGGTCAATCCACTATTTCGACTGGGCCATTTTCAATAGCAAACTGTTAAATTACCGGAGGGTAACCCATTTTCAGATACATGTGATTTCTTGGTTATACCCTGATACCAACATGATTTCTTCTGTTGGCCATGCGATCTTCCAAACGTCGCTCCAGGCCTATTTCCGCAGAGCTCAAGCCTACCTCGAGCTGAGCAACTTCAGAGACTCGGAGGGAAATTGCCTGGTAACGTCACTTGAAGGGAAAGTCACAGAAAATGCCATTCGGTAACCAAACGTGGCAATAAGAAATCCACTATACATTCACATTTAAGCGGGAAAAGCATCTATAAATTCAATAAATAGTGTTTTTCCATTGCCACTTTTGATCAGATTTGATCACCAGAGAGTACCAAAAAAAAAACAGGTTTCCGGAGTCACTGCCTTTCAACCAAAGTTCAATCCACATTTTTGGATGGTTATACATCCCGTATCTTGATGCTTAATATCAGCATTGTAAGTTTTTTTAAACATGATTCACCAACCCTAAATTTGTTTTTGTGTTTTGTTTAATTATAATAGTTCTTTTCACAGGACTCGATCGTTAAATCACCATTTTGATTACTTAATTTTGATTAACATGTTGGAGGTAAAATTGGGTGAATTGTTAAATCCCGGCATTTGGATACACGCCATGGATCCGAATCCCTAACGGATCTATTCGATTCCAAGAACTGGATCCGAAGACGAGAAAAACATCAAGAAATGTCCCATGAGATCCCATTAAATCCGGACCATCATTACCATACACCATTAATCCATATTAATCGCGCATATTTCCATATCATGTTGAATAATCCTCAGTCTCCCTATTGCAATCCATTATCATCCCTATTGTTGAAGATTAAGTCCATACAATAACTGATGACATCCCAGACCATAAACCATAGCCAACTGTTAAATTACCAGAGGGTAACTGGAAGGCGGTGAGCAATTCATCAATACACATGAGCACAGGGATTTATCTACACCCGCTTTAATAATGAACATGCAGCATTATTATAAAACAACAGATAAACAAATAGATATTTGTCTAGCGATGTTTTTTCATTTGGCAAATCATTCCGGTGGTTCCATGTTTGTTCGGTTGGGGGGCAAGTAAACGAGGAACACCTATCTCAAAACGGATGGGCGCCAAAATAGAGATGAACTTCCAGGACCCCTTTTGTGGGGTCTCCTGCAAGGGTCTACGTTTAAAACAGCAAAAAGGTTTAGCATTTTGAGTTGCGGGATGACAATAAACCGTATAGCATCGTATAGCATGTACTATAACTTGACCAGAGGAATATGAAATCCCAACTGCAGGCCGTCGAGTGCGATCGTTTGCACAACGAGATCAGCCGTGCAGTTCAGGAGTTTCTGCGCCTCAATTCTAAAACTAGTGACAAGAGGCGATTAAGCAGCAAACATTAATTGCGCACAGTAATCTAACATATATACAACTTATGTATATATATATATATACACATATACAAATCTAAGTATGTGTATATATAAATATGCATGTATATGATTATATAAGCATATATATATATATATATACGTATGTATAGACATATACATACATACATACATACATACATACATAGATACATACATACATACATACATACATACATTACATACATACATACATACATACATAGATACATACATAGATACATACATAGATACATAGATACATAGATACATACATAGATACATACATACATACATACATTCATACATACATACATACATACATACATACACACATACATACATACATACATACTTACATACATACATACATACATACATATATACAGACATATATGTACACATATATATGTATATTTACATAACATATATATATATACATACAATTCGAAAGAAATACATATCGTTTTTTTTAAATATAATTGGATATCAGATATATAGACAGCTATGCTTAATTATCAGATATAATATATGTATATATAAACAAAATCACACACATATATATTTACATATATATATACATATATATATATATACATATATATATACATATATATATATATACATATATATATATGCACACTTTTTGCGATCTCTATTGGTGTCGGTGAGTTTTATTCCTTCCCTTTCCCTTTTCTATCGCCCGAGCCGGGTTCTGTCAATTGGCGCTGTCGGTTGGGGTTTTCTGTGTTAATAACCCGTATACAGTAGTAGAGCAAGAGGATCCACCATCCCCAAGAAAATGCCGTTCTTATGGGTTGTAAAACCATCAGAAGTTGGGTGCTTTATGGCCCTACATGATGATGACATGATGATCTGTATCCTCAACATATTTAATGAGTCATTGTTATACCCCCTTCTTTTGGTAACATCCCCATATCCCCAACAAAACCCAACAAAACATCCCATCATATTGAGAATTGGGCGAAACACGTTCAGGACTGGGTCCAGAACTTCTACGTGGACAGCAAGTTGCTCCGCAGCGCCTCCCCGGCAGATCAATGTTTGCCGGTGGACTACAAATCCACCAGCTCCTCGCCCGCGGCTCCCAGAGAGGATGTCGGGCGACTTGGGCTAAGGGATTTGTTGAAACATGGACGGAACCCAGGGGTTGATTATAGTTAACTATATATATATATAAGATTACATGAAACTCCAACTATTTGATTTTGGGTGATATAAGATTAATATAACTCTTGACTCTAGCTCATGGGAGCTATAGGGCCAATGCTATTTTCAATATGCATCTATGTGCGATATGCCATGATATGCCAGAGTGTGCAATGGCCTCAGTTTACCTCCGATAATTTGTTACCCTTGATTTTCGTTTCTTATCTTTTTTGCAAAACAAAGAGCACACCCCAACAAATCCCAATAATTATATTGTACTATATATTAAAAAATATATATATGTATAATATTGACTAAATATAAATATATATTGTCATTCCAATGGTTGCGATGATAAAAAATAATATATATAAATTCTGATAGACATTGATAACCATGAATATATATATATATATATATAGATATAGATATAAACTATAGGATTTTGGAGTTCCCAACATTTGGTCATGCACATCCACCTTCGTCACTGTGTGGAGAACTAAGGCGGAGAACTCTCCGATGGATCCACGTTATGTTGAGCGAGGCAAGGAATTAGGCTATGGACTCAACAATTGCAAATGGCTTTCTAGCAATTTCTAATCATCCACTATTACTACACGTAATTGTTTGATAAAAATCATCCATATCCTATGCATCATAGCAATAGTGCTGCTTCTGCTGCCAGGAAGCCAGCGTGATGCCCCCACAGCTTCTGATGCCGCCCTGATTGCGATAGTTCCCTGTTGAAAGTTGTGCATATCGTTTCGAAGTTACAACTTCTGAAGACTTACACATCGTGACACCAAGTCTCAGAAATTCAGATGCACCCCTGTGCTGCACAATATCACAATGCCTCTAGCCACTGCAAGTGCTGTCTGTCAAAATGTTTGGCACGAATTGCACTCACAAGAGCCGGTTTGGAAGGTTGTTTTGTCACAGGCAAAGCTTCTTTCGCACTTGGTTCCGATATCCCTTTCAAATCATCCTCTTGGCATGACGTTTGCACGCAAACCCTCCAGCTGCAGAGCAAACAAATTGCTTCGCCTTCGAGCCCAGTGAGCTAGAGCCACTCCCACGCTTGAAGATTGTGGTCATGGAAGCAATACATCACAATACATGATCCGGTAGTTTTGGTTGATGAAGCTAATGTTAAAGAAAAATAACACACACAGATGCAAAAGACATAAGAGAAGGATAGAGTACAAGCATCTTTCTTCAAATTTCAGCTACGAAATCGGGAGAACTTGGGCTACAGTACAGATTGCCAGCCAGTTTTTTTTTGTACAAACATGAGGGGTTGGGCCCCCCTTTTTGTATTTGAATTCATTTTGTAGTTGATGTATGTTGAGGAAGTTGAAATATTCATAAATGTAATTAACATTCATAAGAGATTTTCCTTTGCCATGTTTGATTACAAGAGGTTATCCTGTTGCAGAGTGCCTCATTTGAGTCATTCGGACATCCGGCTTCACTTTGTTGAAGTTTGAGAATTTGGAATCTGGGTATTCTGTTGGGACGCCAGATGTGTTTAAGTCTTCAAGTTGCATTTCTTTGGAAAGATCCCCTGTTGGTATGCGTGATGTTCCTAGAATTTATGTTGGTCTGAACTTTGGATGGCATCTTCATCCTATCATTGTACCTTCTTTGTTGTTTGACACAATTTGCTATGACTTCGGTGGTGTTTTGATCAGTGGTCTGGATCTGCTTGCCACCACTGCAGGAGAGCGGAGAAATTTCCGAGCGTTGTTCAGAATGTTGTGATGGGGACGGGACAACCCCAGAACCCGAAGAACGATAAAAGTAACACGAAAGAAAGAAAAGCAAGAAATGTAAAACAGCCAGCGGTGGGGCGCCAAAACCCAGTGCTGACGATGAAGATGATGTATGTTGTTGACAATGCTGATGGATGCTAATATAGATGAAACTCCGTTGCCATATTTTTCAGGTTTCTTTAGTAACAATGACACAACAGAAAGAAAAAAATAGTTTGTGCACTTTTTTGTATGCTAATTGGCTGTTCTTGCCAGCAAGGGCTTGCCCAGTTTGAAACGAGTTATTGAACGTCAGGATGGAAAGGTCACAGGGCATAATATTTGATTTGGACGAAGATTAAACCAGGGAAAATCGATCGAAATCACCAAACACGTGTATCCAAACAGTGAAGTACAGTGCAGAGGCCAGCAGTGCCTCAATTACAGAAACACGGGATGAAGTAATTCTCATGCAGCTTCGCTGCTCAAGAGCAAAGTCAACTATAGTGGCTTTTGAAGCCGGAGTGTCGCTTGCATTCTCCAAGGCCGGGACCTATGGAAGAAAATGTAAAAAATGCAATGTCTCCGGAAAATCTACATGACGTCATTGCATTTTCCAACAGGTTTGAATGGTGTTTCAACACCACGAGCAGCGGCAACAAGGACAGAGGCTTGGCAATCCTTGTGCAGTGGAAGCATACTGGAAAAGTCAAAAGAAAGTATTAACAGAAAATTGTCTTCCAAGATCCTTAAGATCAGAGTTACAACATGTAAAGAAAGCAAGCAAACAGATGTGATGCCATTGCAGGTCCAGTTGCACATGGACTGGGGGGCCGTCCCCTCTTGTCGTACCGGTGGACAATAAACACCGCGGGTCCTGGCTGATGACCTTAAACTCGGCCCGGTCCTGGCAGATGACCAGTCTAAACCCTGCCGAAGACAATTCCTGGACGTATGCTACGCATCTCAAGCAGAATGTGCGCACATTGCAAAGGTGTTACAATTGTCGTAGGATAAAATATGCTAAAGCTTGTCTTGCGACTAATGTTTCAGGCAATAGGTTGTTGACCCGCTGGCAAGAGTGGTGCCTGCCGCTTTTGCCCCACACTTCTGCGCACAGTGTTTCAGACATTCTGTGCATGTTTGAGCCACAGATGGCGGATTTGTTGGGTGTAGCACTCTTGTCAGTAAAAGGTTTGTGTCGCACAGCTGCTGGTTTGGCGATATATGTAAGTGAGTGCATGTGTAACTATAACGTAATGACTGAGCTAAATGGATTTTCCGCTGTAGTACCTAACAGAAAATTGGTTTTACCCCACTCCTTGTCACCAAGTGTGAGTAACTTCCTCGATGCAAGATTAACAACGTTGAAGAAAGTAGCACTCCCATGCCGTAGGGTAGGACAGCGACGCATTGGTCAACTGAAGCGCAGGCGCCACAAGATCTCAAACCGAACCAATAAAGATAAAAACGTTAAAGCCGACTCTTGTCGCAATGGTTGTTGCTGTTGCTGTTGCTGCTGTTTGAATTGTTCTTCTTTATCAAGTCCCTTCGATTTGGACTCATTTGTTGATTGTTATTGCTTGTCTTCATCATTTTATTCTAGTTCAGTGTGCTGTGTGTCTGGTGCTGCAGGTGCAAAGGACAATCATAATTGCGTGCCCGTGCCGGAACCGTCCATGAAACTACACAATGACCACTGCACACTAGAGCGCGTCAAGGAATTGTCTTCGGCAGAGTGTAGACTGATCAGCTGCCAGGACCGGGGCGAGTGTACGGTCGTCAGCCAGGACCCGCGGAGTCTAGTGTCCGATGGTACAAGCATGAGGAGCAGCTCCAAGCGTCATGTGCACAGGAACCTGCAGCGGCATCATACAAACCGATTTTTGCCTTCAATAGTCTCTGAGCATCCAACAAATTTATTAGGTGGAAGGGCAACACACCGACACTTGCAGAATGCACGTTCTGGAAGTAAGAGAAAGGAAGAGAGCAGTAAACAAACAATATTTTTCAACACACCTAACGCGAACGGAAACAAAACAAGAGAGGAAGGCAAGGAAAAGTTCAAGGTCGGATGTGGCCGCAACAATGCTAAAAGCAATCTTGTTTATGGCAACAAAAGTAGCCCCAAGAAAGCAACGTCAATGACGAGCAGGAAATGTTTAATGCGAGGCCGAAACGCGGTTTGGAGATTCAAGGTCTATAAGACAGGTCGATTTAGAGGTGCCCCCTGCACTTCTTCATTTCTACAGTACAATCCTCTTGCGCTTCCCCAGGCGCTGGGGTCGGTGGAAAATTTCCATGGAGGGACTCAACATATACATCAATTGTTCATGCCAAAGCAATACCCCTTTCAAACCGCAGACACACTCAGTCGGCAAGAATCAAAGATAAGCACAATAAATGAAGACACCCGCGCGCTTCCTCAGACAGCGGGGTCGGCGGATAAGAAACAAAAGCCAACAAAATACAACACAAGTCTCAGATGTAGATTCTTGAGGCCGCCGACAAAATTGGGTGCTCCATCAAGTAAAAACTGTGATGCTAGAGTCGATGTTCCAGCATCCAAAAGAATAACGGAAGACAATTGCAATGAAACTGCATCCTGCCAACCCAGATTGTATAAGGGACATCGGTTTGTTGGCGGAGGGCTGGCTCCAGCTTTCCAAGCAGGTGATTTAAATTCTGCAAGCTTGCCAGTTTGTATTTTATGTTTGCGTAATGCACCTGACTATGTGCCATTTGCGCTTCAAACAACGTATTCGGCAAAGTGCTCAAGCTGCAAGCGCATTAATTGTAATCAATGTGGAAGCTGGGAAGGCGCAAAGTTCTTTTGTAAGTTGTGTTTTGACGACGGCATAACGCCATCTGTAGAAGCTATGCAGTCATGGAAAGCTGTGCAACCAACACACACGAGAAAGCCGTCCATTGAGCTCGAACATGCAAGATGCTCAAGACAGTATGCACTTGATATGCGCGGGGCGCGGCCTGTACAATTTCAAGGAGGCGGCGCAGAACAATTGCAGTGTTTCATGTGTTTAGCATATAAAAGAGCATATGTCCCAAAACAATTGAGTGATGAGTATGTGTCGCACTGCTACACCTGTGGTCGCGGAGCGTGCGATAGCCACGGATCTTGGGAAGTCGGGCACTTCCACTGTGCACTTTGCCATGCGACTGACGATGGTTTATTGGCGGAGGTAAAGGACACTTTTGCAGTAAGATGTCTCAGTAAAACCTTTCAGAACCAAAGG